AAGGAGAGGAAGTGGGTGCAACATTGGATGATGATGAACAACAACGGCCAAAAATAGAACAGCGATAACATGAGAACAGAATGAACATACCCAACAACTGATGAAAATGGAATGAACATGAACCCAACAGCATGATGAACAACGGAATGAACATGAACCCCAACACAGATGAACAACGGAATGAACATGAACCCAACATGATGAACAGGAATGGCAACCAAGGCAATGGCGCTAACGGGCAACGCTGGAACAAGAACCAAGTGGCCGATGTTGTCCCGTGCGCGGCAAATCTGACGGGGGCTATCTTCGATGACTTCTAACAAGGCAAAGCAGGGTTCTCGCTTCATATTTTTGTCTGGTGTATTTGGGGTCGATGCATTGTGTTCTTTTACGCTGGGAAGTAAGCAAGTCAAGTCAAATGGGCAATCACCTAGTGCTACCGATAGAATAAAGTATACATAGCTAGTGACAGTAAATGCGATTGGTGATGGCACTATTGCAAGGTTGGGTCTTGGAGCAGCACTCAAAGGCAAGCATGATTGGAGGCAGCATGCAAGTCGGAAGGACACCGGTAGCGGTTTGAGAAGGTGAGCAAGACGAATAGCAGCTGCTACCAATGGTCTTCTGTGAAGACGCCTAGCCAGTTAGGGTTGCTACCGGTACCGTAGCTGAACAAGAACAGTCAGTGCAACCGTGCAAACACTTTCGAGTACAATTTTGCCTTGATGAAGTGCTCGGGAAACGAATCTCAATGAAGGCAAATTCCGCCATGAGTCTGGTGAGCATATGGATACAGACGGTGCTAACATCGGTTCTTCCGGTAGCCAGCTAGTTTCCGTAGGAGTGCACACGGATATGATGTAGTTGGATGCACCGGTATCTTGACAGCTCAAGCATGAGGAGGACGATGATACTATCGGTCGCGAAATGACAAAGAGGGTCCGAATCCCAATCCCAAGCCACCGATAGCGCAGAAACGAAGGCTAAACTACTCGAGGAGGAGCCGTCCCTATCTTTAGAAGGCTGCGGTGCATCCCCACTGCTCACGAGTATGCAGATGGGTAGATGCAGCCGTCTCCAAGAATCTAGCTACTAATAGCGTTATTGCACAGTGTACCAGTTCGTTAGTGGCTGCCTGCCCTGCTCTAGCCAACTGTAACCACAGATTCCCACAGCAGCTCCGTAGGACGCAAAGACATCCTACCTAACCAGCTCTATGCCCTCGCAGAATTGTGTCGATGACTGTTTGCCAGTCTGCATTCTAGATGCACGAGGATCCAGTCTGTCGTGGTTTTGCGGTGGATTGGCATCGTTTGCTGCACATTCTGTTGACCCTCGCTTGTTTCACTCTTCATCGTGAAAGGAATCGGCTTCATCATTTTTGGGATCCCAAGCCTCCTCATGCCTGCTTTCTGGATCGTCTGTGCCAGTTCGTTTTGGATCGCCAGTCGCTATGGTGTCTTCAAGAGCCTGGGTTGGATCTTGTTCGTCTACCTGCTTGCGGACAACAGTAGTCTTCGCGGCGGAACTAGCCGCTGTCCTGCCCGAAGAAGTGAATCGTTTTGCTTCGCTCCATCTCCGATTCCAAAAGATAATGGCATTGAACAACCCCTGCATGGGTGTCATGAGTTTCGTCATCAGGGCGATGGGGAAGTTGATGTTGTTGTATTCCAACTCGGCTGGTGGTATCACAATCTGACCAACCACCGGCCAGACTCCACAGAGGAAAAAGAATCCAATATATTGAAGGGCTTGCTTCCCAACCTCCTGAGAGCGTTTCCATTGTGTGGTGCTGTTGGCGCCGTGGGCGTACCTCCTCAGTCTGTGCTCCAGGGCCATGATTTGGAAAAGAAGCAAGGCCATGCAAATGATAATGATCAAGAAAGCCAGGAAGATCGCCCCAGAGGCTGCAATTCTAGCAATTCCTGTGTGATTTTCCCCACGGATGCAATCCACATCTGGATCTGTGGTACAGTCAGGTGGATAATCTTTGAACCAACACAATCCAGACACTCGATCCAGGGGATTAAAGTAACCACCTGCCAGCCCAATCACAGAGAATACCACTACCATCATGACCGGGAACAGATGGAGGAAGGGCTCTATTCTGTGAGCAATGAAATCTTCTGTGAGTTGGAATCGCACCCGCAAACAAAAGTACAGAGCCAACATGGCAGTGTACATCATTGTGCCAAAAAGAATGTGAGCAAAGACACCAGCAACCGCACATGTTGCAGTGGTACCACGGGCCCCATACGCCATGGAACTGGCTTCCTTGGGAACCGCCCAGGAACCAAACACTAAAAGGCCTAGTGCACATACTGCCTCCATGCAACTCAATCCCAGCATGATCCTGTCATAGGTCTTGGACCTGGACCTTTTCTGGAACGATGAGAGAACAGAATAGATGATACTGGAGGAACCAATCAGTGATAACGTTGTGGGGATGTAGATGACCAGAGCCAGAGCCTTCAGCTGGGACTCTGTGTAGATGGGCTCTATCTCTATCGTGCTCATGGTTGGTTATTTGCTTTTCGAGGATGAAGATTGGCTAGCTGTGAAAATATATACTAGTAGGCCCAGCATGGTTGGCATCGAGGTGTCGTGTCTCGGCGATATCGTCGGGATCCACCATGCAGTAATAATACATGCAGGTACTCAGTACGAAAGTAGCTTGTCGCCTTCCGCCATCCGTCATTGTCGTCGTTGTGGCTGTGCAAGGTGAGAGAAACAATAGGTGTTCCACCTGATCGGTAAGCAGCTCTGCCAGCTATAAGCATGGTTTGGCGCCTTTTTCATGACCTTGATTTTTCATTTTCTGATTTCTGACCTTGCCATTGATGCATGAGGGAGACAAGACACAACGTAGAGCTGCAAATAGACGAAGAGGAAGAGTAAGATAAGAGTGGCCATCAATTACCATGTCAAAGGAGGCCGCAGAACAAGTGTCGCATTGGGTACATGATGCTGAATCTCTCGTGACAGTTCAGCGCATTGTTCAGACGTTTGACCTGTCGTGGTCGGCATCATTGTCATTGCTCAAGGAGATCCCAAGACAAGGCAATGAGTACACCGTCACGGTTTATTCGCGAGACTCCAAAACAGACGATGCTGAAGATTGTTCAGAAGGTAAGCAAAGCAGCTACAATGCGGATTGACTTGGGGTCACATTGCAAAAGGCGATACTAGCCAGATTGTTAACGGTTGGCTCAGCAGTCCTTTTTGTTTTTGGAAGTCCTGCGCCTGGTCACTCAAAAATGGAACGACAAGAACAAACCAGAGCAATCCGTGACTTGGTGTGCACTGGCACTGAAGTCATGCAATGAATCTATCCAAGCTGCTTATGAGAGAGACAGGGCTCAATTCCACGATACCATGGCCCAGATCAAACTCGATGCTACTGCTGATTCTTACAACTTGTTTGCCGTTCCTGAACCGCTCAAGAAGCGGTTTGAGGCGTACAAAGGGAAAAGATCGGCGGTGGATGCCTTTGATGATGAAGAAAATGAAGCAAAACCAACCAAGTCGACAACAATTGCTCCACTCCGCGTCAAAAAAAAGACAACCACATCGGCCAAATCTTTCTTTGCCAACAAAACCACTACCAAAACCACCAGTACTACTACAACCAGCAAAGCAGGTTCGAAAGGAAAAACAAGTCAACCCTCAAAGGCAAAGCAGTCTTCTTCGTCCTTTTTTAAGCCCAAGAATGGTGGAGCCAGTCAACCAGGAACCACTCTGTCCGCCAAGGGAAAGGTTCACAATAAGAAGGGCAGCGCTGACGAGGAGAAAGAAAACGTTCGAAACAAAGCGTCCAAGGTCGGTAATGCAGACGATTTCGTGGGGGATGCTGATGACGATGACGACGACGATGATGAGAGCGACGGCATGCTTTCTCGGGATGATGACGAGGAGGAGGTCGAAGAGAGCAAACCGGCGGCAGCAAATGATGGGACAACCAAAGAAGATGTAGCCATGGAGGATCCTGTGGAAGGGTCCCCAATGGAAACAGAAGAGCCCGAAAAGGCCGCAAGCAGTTCACAAGCAACTGCAGAAACGGAGACGAAGCATCGCAGACGAAGAAAGAAGATGGTGGAGCAAACATTCACGGACGAAAACGGATACATCTACACAGAGACAAAGGCTGTCTGGGAAGACGTGCCTTCTGATGAGGAAGAGCAATTCCCAGTGCCTTCCAAAAAGATTGTTCAGGCAAAGGGAAAGAAGCCCATCAAAAAACCAAGCAAACAAGGGAGTATCACTAGCTTCTTTGGAAAGCCAAAGAAAAAGTAAAAACGGCTGGGTATCCGCAATAATATTTGTTGGCAAACTCCCTGGTACCGGTATGTGGTACTGTACCGGTAGTTGTAAATGGTGTTTCAGCTGCAACCTATTTACAACCGCTATCGCTTTGCCGTGTCTGTAGCAAGAGACAAGAACTTGGCGGACATGGTCTCGTCAATGTTCTTACTGCTCCCCTTGACTCTTTTGGATACATAGAAACTCTTATTCAGAGCGTTGGGATCCAGAAGGCTGCCTACAATCACCTGGGCCACTTCCGCTCTTGATACGTCGTTGATGTCATCATTTGACTGTCGTCGTAGAGACGAAGCCATCAGATAATGCAAGGCAAAAGAAATACCGGTACGCACCCTACGGTTTTCAATGTACTTACCGATTTCAGCTCGATCGTGCTGGCCTCGCTGCTTGGTGATTCGTTGAAACCAGAAACCCGGACGATTGCATAACTACAATGCGAGACGTATCAACAACCCATTCTGTGAGAGGCAATCGGCAAGGTTGTGTGCATGCAAAGTTGGACTCCAGCATACCTCAGTCCGCTGTTCTTCAGAATCTCTTCTCCACGATACTTGTAATACGTCTGGAAAAGGTATAGAAGGAAGCCTGGTTAGAAGGAAACCAGCTAGCAATTCGCATAAGAGTCTCCATGGACCTACCTCTTCCGGTATTCTAGTGGTAGCTTGTTTGTCAGAGGACATTTCTTTCAAGGTACGTTCATCAAATATCTGATACGAATTCTCGGTCAAACCGGATGAAACACTCTGCTGGAGAGGGACAATTTGGCGAATGTTATGTTTCACTTGAGAGTCCAGCACAACCGGAGGAATCCTTGCGTCGCTCAGATAAACAATCTCTGGTTCGGGCTGTATTCTGTAAAGCTTCATGTAGGACAGAGCAATGTAGAAACTTGCCATTCCACTCTCCTGCCTCGTTGAGCGACGTGCGTTTTGATTTTGAGGGCTTCGGAATCGAAACCCGATGTGTCGAACGTCTTTACCTTGGAACGGTTGGATTGTCTCCTGCCCATTTTCACCACCAACTGACCGCCGCCTTACAGGTTTGAATGACTCGAAGGGGAGCCTTACTGAAACAAACCTATTCCGACTGGCATTTCCTTTGCGGGGTTGCTTAGATCCTGTGTTGAACTCGCTCACATATTCGATTCCAATTCTTTCGTAGGAAGCATCGCGGATGAAGGCCTCGTAAACCCCTCCATCAGCGCATACACGGCAGACGAAGCCTCCAAAGCCACCACTGAGGTCAATCCCGTCATCTGGTTCTCCATCCCTCGACCTCAACCTACTACTGATGATAGCCGCCTCTCCACCATTTCCACCATCCGTAGCACTTGGCACCTTTCCGACAAAGACTCCATGTCCAAATTCATTTCGGATCCACTTGACCTGAGTCTGCGCGGATGCTGCCTTTCGTTCTTCGATTGGATCATCACCGTTTTCAAGGGAAGCCATGTATTCATCATCATCATCGTACTTTGCATACTCATCATATTCGTCCAAGTTGTCGTATTTGTCATCAGCTTCTTCGTACTCGTCAGCGTACCCAGCAGATTGTGGTTCGATTGCTTCATTCAACGAATCGGCATCCGATTTAGCAGTAGATGGTTCTTTGACAGAAGCTGCATTTGCTGAATTGTTGTCGCTGTCATCGATATCAAACAAGGCAAAATCTTGCTCTCGACTCTGAAACTTGAAGAGCGATCGTTTGGCAGCTTGCGAAGTGCCATAGTCGGCGTATCTGACATTCTGATAGGCTCTCACCAAGTTTTGCATTCCTACCAAGTCTACTTGCTCTGCTAACTGCGTCCTCAACTCCAGCACTGATTCTAACCTTTCCCATGCAAGATCGGATTGGACGACGTCTTTCGGCGAAGATGAAACTTTCCTGACAGTCGAGTCATTGTCGTTGAGATTATCTTTTGCAAAACCAAGGAATTTTTCCCGAAAGCTTTCATCCTGCAAGCTCTCTTCGTCAGCACGTGGTGGTCCCGCAACACAAACGATTTTGTCGACATCTGTCAGTGCATATTCCAAGCTGTCCATGTTGCTAAGATCTCCCTGACAGTAGACTACACCAGTGCCCAGCATATTGAGTGTTCTGGAATACAAGTCAGGGACAAGACAGCGAACTCGGCAGCGTCCTTCCAAGAGTAGCCTTCGAACAACGAGCCGCCCAACATCTCCGGCTGCGCCCACCACGAGCACCTCAGGAACGTAGTTTTCTTCTTCCAATCGAGATAGGTATGGGTTACTCTCTTGGGTAAATAGTGCTCCTCCTGATTCTTGGAATCGGTCGTCGAGGTAATATACGGATTTCTGTCCATCCTGTGATGACACTCCCGATCCACTGCTGGCCCTGGCAAGAGAGGTGATTGCCGAATCTAGACTTTTTCTGAGGTTCTTTCCCGCTTGAAACGGGTTGAGTTTATCGAGCAACCCTGAATTGTCATTAGCGTCTTCATCTCCTGTGTTGACCAAGGATCGGGCGGCCATACCAATTCGCTTTTTCCTCATTTCTTTGACTTGATCTGCGACGGCATCAAAGCTTTCTTTCTTGGAGGAGATATCGTTGGATTCTCCCTCATCCTGTGGCACGTTCAATTTCTTGCCATCGTCATTATCCTCACTGTCATCTTCAGTCTTTTTGGTTGCGAACAAAACGAATTTGGGTAGCCATTCATTGCTGTTTCTATCGGCGGGGGTTACCCTCCTGGTGTGGGAAGTGGCAGGGGGTATCCTGGGAGAAAAACTCGTCGTTCTTTCTACATGTAGTAACAAGGCTACTGCCAGGAAGGAGCAGATTATTCGAGATCCCATTGTAGTGGTGTGGCAGTCTCTCCTTGCTGTTATCGGATAGAAACAAGCGTTCCCTTTCTCATCAATCTTCTTTCAAAGTTGACAGCCAGAATGGTGTGTGCCGCAGCCATCAAACTAACTGACACGAAGTGCGTGGCGTCAGTCATGAGCCATGTTGAAGGTTAGAATAATTCGAGTTAGATTTTGTTCGTTCGAATTTATCGAATGATCAATCGAATCAGAATCGAATGATTCGATTCGATTCGAATCAATCAGATCTTTTAAATTTGGTTTCCAGAACCTGATCGCGAGACGTGCAGCTTGGATGACAGCAGACCTCAAGAGAACACACGTGCTTCTAGCTAGCAGATGAAGAAAACAACGAAAGGAAGTTGAAGGCACAACGCGATACAAGTACAGCGTACTACTACTGTATTATACTAGATCAACACAACCCTTTCCGCTACAACAATAACAACAGAAAAGCTCATCGCTATAATGGAATCCACAAGCGCCTCGAAGAAACGCAGCTCCGACGAAGACGACTTTGAAATTTTGCGTCAGTACATTCTGGCGTGTCCCTTGTTGCCAGGAAAGCCCGAGGAGAATCCAGCAGTCAAGGCGGCCCTTGCGGGGATCGACAGCGAATTGAAACGACGTGAACGTGATGCCAAACTGCAGAAAAAGTTTTCTGGCGTACCGTCTACCAAAGCGTCTTCCACCACCGCAGCAACAAAACCCACCTCGTTTATCGAAGACGAATGGCAGAGCATTGATGCCAGCGATCGAAAGCACCCTTCCACCAACACAACGCCATCAGAAGAAGAGGAAGTGGAAATCATCAATGTAGACGATGACACTGGTGTCTTTGGCAAGAAACTGGCAGAAGCGGCCATTGCTGCCATGGCTAATCGATCACAAGCGATAGCAAAAACTCCTGTTGCTGCGATTGCTCTGGCCTTGCACTCTGCAATGATGTCAGATGACGTCTTGGGATTCGCCACAATGAACTCAACTGACGATGGCACCAAGGCAAGCAATAGTGGCTTTGCTGCTCCGATTCGAGAGCTGCCCAAGACACAGTTCCTGCCCAAGGAGTGGGACAAAAACGCCAAAAGCATCAACAGCAGCACACAGAAGGTGGTTCTTCGATACCGAAAAAATGGCACTGGTTCCGTGCTGCTCAAAGTGGAAGCTCTGGAACAAACAGATTCTGCCGAAGAGCAGCAGATCTGTGTCCAGCTACTACCAGCCAACAACAAAGAACCACCCAGTCAGACACTCACATTTCCTATCAATCGACACATCAATTTGGACTCCATGAATGCGGCGCTGAAATCACCCGATGGAAGAATGGGGGTTCATCCTGCACTTCATTACAAAGCTCTTCCTGATCTGATGAATTCTTTCGCAACCTCTTTCGATCTTGGAAGTATCGCAGACGACAAAAAGGCATCAGACCAGCCTCCTAATAGTGGGCCAAAGTTCCTCAGTCCACCCGTCCACGCGACCTACAAGGACTCATGTGGCTTTCAGGGGCATAGTAACAACAACAACAATCCAGACTTGGGTAGACCAATCTATACTGGCGACCGAAACATTCCCACAGTCAGCACAGCGTTCCCTCCATTGCGGCCACAATTTGTGGGGGATTTCTCGGGTGACTTGGTGCCCACGGGAGGATTACACGGGATGCCAAACATGGGACCTGGAAATATGATGGGTCCCAATCATCCTGCCTTTCGTGGCGGTGGCATGAGCGGCGTCGATAACAGTTCCGGATTTGGGATGATGCCCCGATTTGACCCTTTTGGACCTCCTGGTGGGCCCCAAGAAATAAACAATGGACGTGGCGGACGACCCGTTCCGCCGCACATTCAAGGCAATCCAAACAATGACATTTTGCGTCCTCCCAATACCTTCAACTCGGACATGTATTCCTAAACAGCATGCACCCTGTGCGACTGCATCATTTATTTGGTTTGTCGTCCTGGCTTCACGAAAGGATACTGGTATGAATGTTGCCGTCAGCTCTATTCTGCGACATCATCGACTGAAACAACTCTACTTTCTTCGCGACTTGTGACTATAAGTACTAGTACTAGTTGTGTTTGATTGAGTTTTGCTTGCGGATCTGTTTATGAAGGCTAGGTCTACTGTAGCGCTATCTATCGGCATGTCACAAAAAAGTTGTTGACTCTAGATTCCATCTTCGTCATCCGATGCTTCCCCGTCACCTCCGTTCACGGTGTCTTGATTATAGTACATTTCCAAAACTTGGGCCGCCGTCGTTGCCTGATCTGGCTTCTTGTCGTCTCGCAACCGTTCAAAACGAGGGAAACGAAGCCCAATTCCACGTCCTTCTTCGATCTTGCCAATGGCTCCACGATGGGCAGAACTTTTGGAAAGGTCTGCAGCTTTGGCTTCCCAGACTTGGACAGCATCAAACCAAACGTCACATTCAAGCTGGTCAGAGACATTGTACTGGCTGGTCTTTTGGGGGATTTTGTGTTCGTTGAGGGATTCAGCAAGAGATTTGAGATCCTCATCCGAGAAACCGGTACCAATCTTGCAGACACTCTGAAATTCCTCTGTCTCTGGGTCATAGCAAGCCAACAAATAGGCTCCATAAAAACCTGTTCGCTTCCCCTTGCCGTAAAAAGCTCCAATCGGGACCAGATCAAACGTATCCCCCATCCCTTCAAGGTAGTCCTTCTTCAATTTGAGCCAATTGAAGGTCCGCTTGGAGGGTTCGTAGCCGTTGTCGCCGTCAAGGGCCTTCACCATGAGTCCTTCGCATTGTCCTTTGATGGCCTGGTCAAGGAACTCCTCTATGCGCGAACTATCACCGTCTTCTTCATAGTCCAAGGAGACGGCAAAACAGAATTTGCCAGTCACGGGAGAGAAATGTTTGTACATCAAATCACGACGTTGCTGCAGTGTTTTGCTCAACAGGGATTCCCCATTGAGGTACATCAGGTCGAAAGCCTGCACAATGACTTGCACCGTGGCTGTGTCAGCGGAATCTTCTGTTTTTTTACGAGTGGACAAAACTTGAAAGGGAACCAACTTGTCTTTCTTCTGGTCGTAGGCCACAACCTCCGTGTCGAGCACGCAGCTCTTCACAGAATCGTCAGCTGCTTCTTCCACGTATTTTGTCGCTTCAGGGTACTTTTCCGAAGTATCGAGCAGGTTGCGCGAGAATACTTTGGACTTGCCATCTTGGAGTATGTGGACTTGTGCCCGTTCTCCGTCGTACTTGTACTCCAACGTGAACCGTTGCCCGTTCAAGCGCTTGAGAACTTCCTGCACACTCTTTGTAGGCTTTGCAAGCATCGGCACAACGGGGATGCCTGGGGTCAACGTGCATTCCTTGTGCAATTCTTGTAGAGGTACTGTGAGCGCCGCCTCGACGAGTTTATCGAAAGATGGCACTTCAGAGTATGCCTTTTTGATGATGTCCTCAGCTGCCGCCAGCATGCCTTTCTTGTCTTTGGCCGACTTCTTCAGGAGGTATTCTTTTACTTCCGAAGGATAGTCCTCGTTGGATTCTCCCTTGATAGCCTTCATGGCATCTTTGGCTTTGGGAGGGACGCTCAGTGCGAGAGCATGGGCCAGAGATTTCAGGACGGTGCTCTCCGCCAGCCCGATTCGTAGCCTTCCCTGAAGAGCCCGGATAATGAATTTTGCCTGTGATTCTTTCCCCTGTGTGACTTTGACAAGCATCTTTTTGATGCTGTCTGTCTTGATCTTTTGCGAGTCCTTTCCACTAGTCTGAGCAATGCGCTTCAACGTTTGGAGCACCTCATGGCACGTCAGTGGCTTGGTTACGGTATTGCTCGTGAAGAAACTTCCCAGAGTCTTTTGTTTCTTTTTGGAGGATTGCGCAACAGACCCTAGATCGCCTTCGGCCTCGTATTTCTGTTTGACGATTGCTTTTTGAGTACCGTATGCATCCGAGATAGCCTTGATGAGGATGGCATCCCCTACCCCCAACTCGACGTTGTCGCATGCGGGTGCCACCTGATTGCACAAAAGATAGGTGAGATCTCGTAGGCGTTCAAAGAGGCTGTCAGCATTTCCCTCGTCAATCTGCTTTCGCACGAGATCGGTGACGATCGCTTGGATCTCCAACCGACCCGAGATGCCTTCAATCTTGTCAAAAACATCGCAAAGCTCGCTGTATTCCAAGCTATCGGTTCCTGCTTTGTTGTCAGTTTTGGACGCCTTTGGTTTGCTGGCAGGTTTGACGGATTCTGACTTTGTCGCTGTTTTCTCGGCTGTTGCGGCAGCGGCTTCACCTTTTGGCTTTTCGGTATCTGGCTTGGAATCGTCTTTCCCATCAGCGTCTGGCATGTCGACGTCGCCGTCATCATCCTCTTCGTCATCCTTTTCGTCAGTATTTTCAGCGCTCTTCTTGTTGTCATTATCATTCATCGCGGCTGGCTTGGAATCTTCATCAGCGTCGTCATTGGTTTTGTTGTTTTTGGCCTTGTCATCCGCATCTTCCATTGGTGAGTTGTCGTCTTTGTCTGTCTTGACGCTGCTGTTATCCACAAATTCTTGCTCTTCATCAGAATCATCTTCAATGGCGAGTCGACGACGCTTGGAGGCTTCTTTCTTGGATTTTGCCGAGGCGTCATTGTCATTGCTCTTTATTTTCCTGTCATTGCTGTTGCGTTTACTGGTGAGCTTTTTGGTAGTCTCTTCCTCGCTGTTGCTGTTTTCTTTGCCAAATGTTTTGGAAACATCGTTCTTTTTGCGTTTGTTTGTTGGAGATTTATCCGCAGCAGCGGCAGCAGCAGCCCCTTTCTTTGAAAAGAAGGAATCCAACTTTGTCTGAGGATTCTTCTTCTTGGGCTTGTCGGAGGCAGCGCCAAAAAAGTTCTTGATGTTGGTTTGTTGCTTCTTCGGCATGGCGCTTCGTTTATTTGCTAGCTGGCTAGCTGGCTAGGTGATCTAATGGTGCGTCGCTTCAGGTCTTGCTCTGGTGTGCCGGTATTATCTTCTCTGTCAGCAAGAAAAATGCGACTTGCAATGGTTTCGAGAGAAAATGCACGAGAGATCGAGTGATGTCTGTTGAAAACCCGACACAAGCCACTGATGGGCGGATGGCGCGATCTTTTGCCGCCAATGCAAAGAAGATCTCGGACTGACCGAAGACTACAGATTACAGCCTTGTGGGCTTGTAGTTCGATCAAAAGATCGTCAGTTTTCATGGGAAGGCATTTTTAGGACGTCGTTGCTAATTTGACATCAGATGATGATGAAAGATACCAGGCACTCTGGTTGGAGACGGTTGGGCACCAGCAGACCCATTAGTAGTTAGTTATTAATAGTAGTATGGCGAGTGATGAGGATGATGATGCCCCTTCAATAAGACGCCCAACTAAGCGACGCCGCAAAGATCCGAGTTCAAAATGTCATGGTATCCCCACTACAATTCGAGCGCTCCTTGGACATCAAGCCCGGATTTTGCGATTGGGTGACTACATTCAAGCAATCGCCCCATCTCTGGAGTTTGACCTGAAGGAGGACCCTGCCTCAAACCAACACTTAAATTCCTTGATGAGACGACTGTCCAACACGGTGGTGTCACCTACTAATCATCAGGATGCAATCAAGCCAGTCTTCCAGAAGGTGACAAAGCCTCGCGTGGAAACATCTTTGTTATCTATTGTTGATGACGTTGTATGGTCCCTGGTCGTCAACAAGAAACAAACACAAGTTAGGAATGCCCTCTCGCAAGGGTATGTGGTGGCGTCCGAAACGCTTTCCAATCAAGTTACCGGTTGTTTCATGCGACCTGGTGTCATGAGTACACACCTAAACTCAAATGCTTCCTTTTGCAAAAGCTCAAAACTGTTTCGCGTCCTACATGCAAAGGTTGGCGATGAAATCGTACGATTCCTGCTGTTGAAAACAAGCATCTTCGTGCCTCACGAAACAACAACAACAACAACTGGAAATCAACAACATAACAATTATCAACTCGTCTGTGGACCAATTCCCAATGGGCGCCCTGCCAATGCCACGCAGCCCAACACAGCAGGAAACAAGTCCCGTAGCCATCGATATCTAAAGCCCCATGCGACAATCAACAGGCAATCCATGTTGGGTTCTGATGCCTTTGTTCCTAAAGTAGGATTGCCCAAGGATCACATTCTCAACGATGATGCTCCCAGAGAACAAGAGCTACTCTCGCGCATGATTCCCATAAATGACACCCCAAGTGGTAGGAAACGACCAAAAAGATGGAACCGGCTCAAGGTCATGGGCATTCCCATATGCAAAGATATCATAAAAGGAAGCAAAAAGTGTGATTATCATCGACTATTGGATCGGTGTTGTCCAATGCCAGATGCCTTGAAGAACAGAATACATGAAGGAGAAAAGACGTTGGCACCCAAGGACGTTGCGACATGCTGTACTCCATCTGGCGAGGTATTTGCTTTTCTCTCGAAAGCTCTACGGATCGTCTTTCCTTTGAGATTCTGGGGATCATCGCACAATTTGGACACATTTCTGGGGGTTGTGCAAACTTTTGTCAACCTAAGGAGGAGAGAAGCGCTCCCCAATAAGACCTTGATGAACCGAACTCGCGTTCTGGACTTTACGTGGTTGATCGGGGAAGGATCCTCACATAAAAAACGCAAACTCTGTCGAACAGCCCACGAAGCTGCTACACGTCTTGTGACTACAGTGCTGAGGTGGGTATTCAACGACTTCATCGTGCCTCTCCTCAGGTCCAACTTTATCTCCACGGAATCCGAGTTCTCAGGCCGCAGAGTACTGTACTACAGGAAACCTACCTGGGCGTTGTTTCGATCTCTGTCACTGAAACACTTGAAGACCAAACAATACAAGGAGATAAGCGCAGCTGATGTGAAGGAACGCCTGCAAATACAAAAGACAGGATGCTCGAGGCTGCGGCTTCTCCCCAAGGCAACAGGTGTTCGACCGATTGCCACCCTCTGCAAGCGTGACAACAGCCTTCTCTCAGACGGGAAACCGGCAATGTGTCCGATAGCAACGGATCTCAAGCCTGCTGCCAAACGGCGCAAGGTTCGCCACAGTTCCAACCTCAAACCGTACGCTTCAAGTGCTGGCAGCAAACTCAAGTCTACGAATGAAATCCTTCGAGATTCACTGGCTGTGCTCCAGTTTGAACACCAAAACAATCCTCAACTGTTCGGGGGTGGACTTTTGGGCTTGCACGAATTCTATCCTCGGTGGCATGAATATGTTTCCAATGTGCAAGCCAGGGCACCACTCGGCAAACCTGTTCAGTCCTACTTTGCCAGTGTTGATATTCGGCGTTGCTACGACAACATTGTTCAGGACCGTCTCTTGGAGCTTCTGAATGGCATCCTATCAGAAGACAACTATGCAATAAACCGATGCTCGTTGTTGCAGTCCACACCAGAAAGGAGTGGAATTGCAAAGAGGCAACTCAAGCAAGTCTGCCCCGTTGAAACGTTTGATATCATCCAAAGAGGAGGCATTCTTCAGAGGAGCTCTCGAGATGGTGCTGTCCTTCTCGACGAAGGAACCTCTAGTGTTGCCAAGAAGGGAGAATTAATGGAATTGATCAGAGAGCATTTGCAGAGCCACGTCGTTGTGACCAGTGGACGTCATAGAGATGTCTTTCTCCATCAAAGGAAAGGGATTCCTCAAGGAAGTTCTCTGTCGTGTTTCTTGTGCAACTTCTACTATGGTTCCCTCGAGCAAGATGTGATGGGTACTGATGCACAAAACCAATCAACGGAGGGGCATGTTTCTCTACTTGTCCGCATCATCGATGATTTCTTGCTTGTGACAACGAATAAAGCCTTGCACAAATCCTTCTTGCAAGCCATGCGACGAGGAAACCCGTCACTTGGGATGACAATCAACCAAGAGAAAGTCTTTTCCAGCATCAATCTTTCTCTCACCAACGATGACGGGACTTCTTATCAGGTCCAACGAGCACCAGACGCTGGTCTCCCGTGGTGTGGTTTACTGTTTGACACAGAATCTTGCGGGGTCAAGCTGGACCTCTCTAGACTTGCATGCGGCAAGGCCGCAGATAGCCTGACGGTAGCTCGGACCAGGAAGGAAGGCGAACAACTGAGAATTGCGATGAAAAGTTTTGTGCGTCCAAGGTGCTACCCAATCCTCTTTGATCCTTCGATCAACTCTCGACGGAATATAGACGCAAACTTTTTCGATCTCATGCTCATTTGTGCTGTCAAGACGGATGCTTATGTCGCAAGCGGCAACATGCTCAACTCTTCCAGCAGGAATGTTGACTTTCTGCTTTCCTGTATCGCTGATACCATATTGTTTTCGCTGCAATTGATCAAGAGCCGCCACCGAATGGGTGTGCAACAATCCACCAGTGCGCCCCATATTGATCTCACGAAGGCAATGGCGCTATCGCTCGGTTGGAATGCCTTTCTCCTCATCTTCCAAAGACGCCGGTACGAATGGGGCTTGATTGCCAGGGTGAAGAAGAAACTTCAGCGATGCCCCCACAGTCCGCGTGTTCGCCTTGTACTTCTCGAGAGGAGGGATCATGTTCATGTGTGGATGCTTTGAACACAGATCTGCTTGCAGGCCTTGTATAGCTACTGCTGTTCTGCGAATCTATCACACAACGCAGTCTGTTTCGTGGCCGTCCCGTACTACTGTAGAAGCTAGCAAACTAGGTTGTACACGAGGGGCTATTTCACAGTTAGGCCAGAGTGGAAAAGTTCTGTCTGGGCCGGCGCCTCGTGCACTTCACGATTCCACGGAGACAAAACTGTGACTAAGAACTATGCGTAACAAAGAACAAAATGATGCTGTGCAGGGTCACACCTGCGGCTGTCAATCAGAACCTTGTACCAAACCAAAAGTCGACGCTTGTACTTCAGGTAGTGCTGCCTCCATCTGCTGTGATGTTACATTCTGGTCATGGCACGTTGCATCCATATGCACAGACATGTTTTTGCTGCTGGCCTTCAGGGAATAGAGTTCCAATGACATTCCAAGAGACCACTCCACCTCGCTTCCATCCACAAGGAAGGTGAATGTGATGTCCCTGGATTCTGGATGGAAACCAAAGCCATCTCTCAAAAGAGAGACCATGTAGCACGACTCGAAGCAACGGTGTGGCAGCACCTCGGCTCGAGTGAATTGATGGGCATTGTGTTGGATCTCTTCCAGATCTCCTTGCCAGGCTCTGGAGCAAAGACCCTCGAGCGCATCTGTGAGTTCATTTATACTAGGTTGTGGCCAGGCAGTGTCCAAGTCGTCATGCGAAGAGAGGACACGCAGGCTATCCAACGTGAAAAAGTACAGGGACATGGCAAAGAACCTTCCCCTGACAGTTGGGTGCTCGATACCCCCGACAACGCGCCCGGAGTGTTCGTGGTGATTGTCAATTGCCTCTTCAGGGTGGGGGAGCAACCGTTGAACTTGTTTCGTACATTCACCAGCGTCGCCTGTGCCGATCAAGGTGAAATCATTCCATGTGATCTGATGCCCTTTGAATCCACATGGGTACAAGATCACCTTGGTGTCGCAGGAGTCGCTGTGGTCCTGAGCTAACCTGCCGCTGATGAGGGTGTCCCACAAGCGCTCACGGAACTGGTCGACACCATATGCCAGGTAAGATGTGGAGAAGAACTGATCTCCCTGCAACATGGGCTGATCCACCAAGTCGGAGGGACAAGTCTGTGGGAACTCTTCGTCACCATAAGACTCTGGATCATCTCCACTACTCCCGGTACTATCTGGTGGAGAATTGGCGCAGCTGTGACTGCCATTGTCGACTTGCTCTGTCAGGTACACAATTTGTGTGGAGGATCCTCCCATATCCAAAGCTCCAATAGGGTGTGTTTGTTGGTTGTTCAAATCATCATCCTTACGTACAACTTGAAGATTCGCCTCAATGATTCCAGACAAAAAGTTGGCTGCCACGGCACCATAATACCCTTCCAGGCTTCCAGAGAGTGTTGCAATGTCATTTCTTTCAATGCCCTTGAACACAAAAGACTCCGATTGCATCAACCCCAGATACAGAGCGTCATATACAGCCTCTTGCTGTTGTTCTGTTAACAACCTCATGCCAGCAGTCGCTTGATATTTGACAATGGTTGTATTGTGATATTCTGGTGGAATCACATCGGCCGCAAATTCAAATGGTGGTAGCATGTGAGCCGCAACGACTTCTGGGTCCAACAATTCATCTTCCTCGGGAGCGAAGGATGACATGGGGACATTCGCACGGCTGGACCCACGGCGTTCACACTGGTAGGAAGCAGATTCTTTATCATGAATAAATTGAAAGATGTGAAGTCTGGAACCCGTGGAACCACCATCAATCACCTACGGTAATCAGGGAGCAAGTCAGTGCACGACAGAAAGAACCTGTGGGTTACAAACAAACAGCCTCTAGTAGAGGAGCTGCCTAGACTAGTATTTGGAGAGGCAACATTTACCTTTCCGCAGAACTTACTACGAGATATGGCGACAAGGGTTCTTCCGTGAAAGAGACATCGTCCTGGCCAATGCAGACTCCGAGAACAATCAACAAAGTCACCGCGATGATAGACGGCAAGTTCATCATGGTCAACCACAACTTTGCTTCTCGTGCGGTTTCCAAACAATGGAGCAAGATGTACGGGGACTGCCACCTGCGCAATAGATAGATATGAATGAATATATGAATGGTCGACCACAGAAGCCGGGTTGGAAGGCAATTGAAGAAAGACTTCGGTCTTCGGTCCCACTGAACAGAACATGCGGGTCAGGTGAAGAAGGAAGAAGAACAAAAGAGCGACAAAAATTGTTTAAATTATTCTGTCGGGTGGTGGGGTAAATAAATAGACAACCTGACAGTGGTGATACTTCAGAGCTGCCCAACCACCCTGATCGCGTGCCTCGTGTCGACGCCCCAGAGCTCATATTTTCTCCCTTGATGCTGTCTTCAGACTTTTTTAAAAGACAGCAGACAAGCCTTGCCTTGTTGCCAGAGCTGTTGCCAGTGCGCAAGCAACGATGCATCACCCCAGTTTCTCTTCATGTACCGGTATTTGATAACAAGCGAGTGACTACCGGTACTGCAAAGTGCGTGAATACATGTACCAGATACAGGCCTTGCTATTAGACGACTGCCTACTAGCTAGATGACTTGTGCACAATTTAATGCCAATGACAAAGCAAGACAGCAGCACCCCAGCCAGTCGCGGCAAATCAATTCTGATCAGCCAGTTGGAATAAATGGTGTACATGATGTATTCAGTTCCTGGTTTTCACGGGTACCCTGTACCCGGTACCAGTGACAGGTCCTACATGCATATGTCATACGACTGTACCAGGTAGCACCGTGCGACTGCTGTGCAGTGGCCAGCACGCCAGTTTTTCCGGGCACCCGATACCGGTACGCTGTACGACTGTACCTGAAACCGACATTTCAAGGTGAAGCATGGTACCGTAGGCGACAACCACCAGTATCAGCCATAACGGTACAGTACCGGTACGTGGCCAGTGACCCAGGCAATGGCAAACACAACCAAAGGGCTGAACTTGAAACAATAGACAGAAACGTTTCGTCCTGCAACGCAAGCAAGCTATGAGTTTTTGTTCCATCAGGAGTGCTGTGAAGCGCTGTTGTTCATGGACGGTAGGCTTGGGTCCTACTGTTAAACTTCTTGTAGCTAGCTACTAGACTAGAGCAGTAATGGTGTACTGTACAGTACATGATCAAACAGAATCTGATACGTACCTGGAAGGCACCAGGTTCTCTCAATAGTCAATAGTCGTTCTAAAGTCGCGAAAGTCGTTCTAAAGTCGCGCACCGCGACTTTATCGCGACTTTTCACCGCGACTAGAACGACTTTCGCGACTTTAGAACGACTTTAGGACGACTTTGCTTGAAAATTAAGTCAGCGGGAGCTGCGATACCTCGGCAGACAGACAGATAGAAGAAGGAGGATCATGTTCGAGATTGCACCCATCTTTCAAGCCAGCCCTGGCGACAACACCCGACTACGTCGTGTGTTGCCGCCCGGTATCATTCATTCCCTCATTGCAACCTTCTTTATTAAGCTAGCCCTGGCGACAACACCCGACTACGTCGTGTGTTGCCGCCCGCTACTCTATAATTTACCAGCTGTCATTCCCTTATTGTAACTCTAACCTTTACAACTCCTGCTGGCTTATTGTGCTGTTGTGCTGATTGCACTAACCTTAAATATTAATGATTTATTCCTACCCCTAACTTGTATTGAACCATCAATGTTCAGTTTTGTTGTCTTATGACTATCTCTATCCTTATACTTTGGCTTCACCGGAATAGGAAATAGGAAATAGGAAATAGGAAATAGGAAATAGCATTAAAGGGGTTGAGAACTCAGGCAGTTTACCTGCCGAGGTAACTAGTATTTTACCGTGACTTTACCGCGACTATATCGCGACTATTTGGATTCAAATGAAAGTCGCGCACGACTATACCGCGACTTTTAGCGCGACTTTAGCGCGACTATCGCGACTTTTTTGGCGAAGCGGGTAAAACCTGGTGCCTTCCTGGTACCAGGTACCGCTAGATAGATAAGTCTACCCTTCTCCATAATAGTAGACCTTGCCTGGTTCCAACGCCAGTGGGGGATGCCGGTGTCGAACATCCTCAACCCTAAACCTAAGATCTTTCAAACGATTCGGCTTTTTTTCAGCGTTCGTCTCCTGTTTCCTCAGGTCAGTTTGCTCGCTACTTGGATCCATATGACGAATACACCCAATCTATGATACCGTAGGCAGAGAGTTACATCGATCCATGACAGTGGCAACAGTACCGAACACACGCAGGTTCCGCTTTACTGGCTACACTCCGTTACCGGTACATTTCATTGGATCCTTATGACGAATACATGCACAACCGAACATTGTCAATCCAGCCATCGTAGCCAGCTACCGTAGAGTTCATCGATCAGTGACAGTGGCAACAGTACCGAACACACTCAGGTTCGACTTTCCTCGCTGCACTCGGTTACCTCACATTGGATCCTTATGACGAATACACGCACAACCGAATATTGTTAATCCAGCCATTGTAGCATGCTACCGTACAGTTACATCGGCGACAGTGTCAACAGTACCGAACACACTCAGGTTCCGCTTTGCTGGCTACACTCCGTTGCCGGTATCTTGCATTGGATCCTTATGACGAATACATGCACAACCGAACATTATGAATCCAGCCATTGTAGCCAGCTGTGGTATAGCTACATCGACGACAGTGGCAACAGTACCGAAAGTTCGGCTTTGCTCACTACGGTTACCGGTACCTCCCATTGGATCCTTACGACGAATACATGCACAAAACCGAATATTGTTATTCCAGCCATTGTAGCCGGCTACAGTTGCTACCGTACAGTTACATCGGCGACAGTATCAACAGTACCGAACACACTCAGATTCCGCTTTGCTGGCTACACTCGGTTGCCGGTATCTTGCATTGGATCCTTATGACGAATACATGCACAACCGAACATTATGAACCCAGCCATTGTAGCCGGCTGCGGTATAGCTACATCGACTAAAGTGGCAACAGTACCGAAAGTTCGGCTTTGCTCACTACGGTTACCGGTACCTCCCATTGGATCCTTATGACGAATACATGCACAACCGAATATTGTCAATCCAGCCATTGTAGCCAGTTACCGTAGAGTTACATCAATCGGTGACAGTGTCAACAGTACCGAACACACTCAGGTTTGGTTTTGCTCGCTACGCTCCAATGTTTCACCATTACAATGAATACAGGAATATTGTCAATCCAGGCTCCACAAGCACTGTTCCCACGGGAAAATGGGTACCAGCACAGGAATCACCACCAAAACACTATGAAATAACACTGGAGGGGTGAATCCAGTAGTAGGATCCACTCTCTTGTGCGTTGTTGCCTCCGCCGGTTAACTGTTGCAATTCAATGACTCGACGACGATCTCCTCCGTTCAGACTGTTGGTAGGGCTGGAGTTAACAGTATCCTCCGTAGCTCCTCTTGTCGTATCCGGAGCGGTGGATCGATCGACCGAAATGGACTCGACAATGGGATTTCCTCGGTAATCAGCAGTGCAGCAGAGAAAACAACAAATAGATATGAGTTTTATTTTCTGTGCTCAACTGCAGACGACCGGAGACTTACTCTTGCTTTTCAAATTGCACCAACTTGGTCGTCATGGGCCGAGAACTGACTGCCATCCCATGGTCCATAGGATTCAATGAGGGATGGTTTTCCAATCTGCACCGGAGACGACCGGCTTGAGTGAGGCTGCGACCGATTCGATTCAAATAATTAAAACAACTCACCTGTTGACGGCCGAGCTCGGAATTCTCTCCTGTTTGCCATAGAAATTCAATGAGGGAGAAAAGTCAGTGTTGTACCTTCAATAACACTCTTGATAATCGATTCGATTCGTTCCTCGATTCTTTCATAAATCCTTAACCTTAGTAACTTCAATGGTTCTTTTTATCCACGAATCGATCTAAATCTTTTGAAAGGGAACTTATTACTTAACGATACACATGACCGTTGATTCTGCAACTGAAGTGCGGCTACTCTTTTTCCCACAGTAAACGCCGGCAAATCGGTTCCAGTGTGCAACTGAGGGGGTAACCTAAAGGAGCGTCGTCTCGAGGAGACGTAATTTTTCTTTTTCTTGCCGTTTTCCTTCGCCGGAGGCAAGAGGCAACAGTAGACAGGCAGAGAGGCTTCAGCATCCAGCATCACGCGATACAGTACTCGTTGACAGAAATCCATTGATGCAGAGACCATGACATTACCTGATAATGCTTCTGAAGACGTTGAGATCCAGCAATCTTTGGGCGATGACGGAGGGGATCATATAGCTGTGGCAGTGGAACGCGACGGAGATGATTCAGCCAAAGATACTACTACTCCTTCTGACAGTCTCTCTCCAGACCAGGCAACAGAAGACGCAGAAAATGGCGAATCAGGAATTACCAATGGATCCAAGAAGAAAATGGAAACATTGGAAATCGATGACCAAAATGAAAACGAGGCGGAAGAATCCTTCGATGACGACGAAATGGACGATCTTTTGGGCAACAGTTCCTCGGAAAAACCTTCGATGCCGCAACGACGGTGTTGCTCAGGTCCCGAAAAAGTGGGAAATATGCGCATCTTACTTCCTACCATCTTTTACAGAACGGGGTGGGGAATTGCAGGTCCACATTGGTTTGGCCCATTCTGTGTCTTGTTTCTGGTCGGGTTGGCATCCCATTACTTTGTCGCGATCAGTGTGAAGAGCATCGGTCCCATCACGGCAACAATCTGTGTTATGTTTGCGGCTTCTTGTGCTTACAATCTTGCGAATTGCGCGTACCGAGATCCAGGAGTCGTCAAGCTGCAGCCAGCAACGTCAGGGCCTCAAGATACCGATGATGATCAACGATTGCAATTCAGGTGGTGCGATCGATGTCAGGTACGGTAGGAACGCAAGGAACGGGGACCGAGCCATTTTTTTATCTCGAGATTGCCATTTCTAACCATTCCGAACTCCAATGGTGGTTGGTATTCTAAAGGTTTTCCAACCAGTCGATGGAGCACATTGTTCAGACTGCAATGTGTGCATTGCTGGTTTTGACCAGTAAGTTCACGGGCAGAGGTTTTCTTGCGACGTTGTCATGTTATCTGTTCGATCTAAAATGGTTTCGTTTGCCTTGCAGCCATTGCGTTTGGATGGGCAGTAAGTTCATTGGAATTGTTTAAACGCTCCGAATTGCCATCTTTGTGGTCTGATTGATCTAACATGGTTTCGTTTGTCTTGCAGCTTGCATTGGGAAGAACAACTACAAGCAGTTTGTTGCATTCAATATCAGCTGGCTCTTGTATCTGATATACGCAATAACATGGGTTTCCGTCCTGGGACCACTGATTTTTGGGCGTCATCCAAAGCATGAGGTATAGAGAAAGAAGTTAATTAAATAAATTCTAGTAGTAGACCGGCAGGCAATCCATAGAAAGCCACCCAACCCAATAGCCGGCACAAATGTTATCAGCCGGATGGTACTAGTATGTTGAGACTAGGCTTGCTCAGATTTGGCAAACGATACGAGCACCAGAAGCTCTTGCTTACCCAAAGAGCCCTTTCAGTCCTAACCATTCTGAAAAGCACAAAGAGCACAAGATTCGATTCTAGATTCATTCCTTGACAGCGGAGCTACCCAGACGATAAAATGTAATGGTCTCCCCAGGGCCAGTTCAAGATTCCAATTCCAGCAGTGAAAGCCAACATGCAGCCATGCCCGTACGGTACTACACATAGTCTAGCTAGTACGGTACTGGTACTATTTAAAATAGTACCGGTACGTGCAAGTCAAGCTCGGAGGCAGACAAGGTCCCGCCATTGGTTCTCCACGACCATTTGAACTTTCTTCCAACCATGTCCACGCGTACTTGCAGGCTTATTTTTGAAGTCCGTCCCGCTCGTTGCCCGCGAGATTCAAAACTCGTAAGCAAAGCCCCCACCACTTCACAAAATCAGTTCTTTCCCTTTATTACATTATTTGCTTTCCCAGTACTAGTAATAATAGAGGGAGACCATGGAGTGTGTGAATGTAAGAAGCAGCATTACCATGCAGCAGCTGAAGCTGGAGTACCAGTCCTGTGTGGAAACTGAGCAGTCAGCAATTCAATCCTTCGCCAATGATCGTATCAAGTGTCTTCTCGCAAAGCTCACAAGCATGTCGCCAAAAGAAAAGAAAGCAAGCGAGAGATTGTTGATGCAAGCGACACTTCAGCAATGCGATGAGATCTTGAAGCCATCAACTGTGGACAAATCCATTGTCTTTCGGAGCCTGGAAGCTCAAGTGCTGCTTCGGTTTCAATTCTGGGCTAAACTCGGAGACAAGTTCGTCCAATACTACAAGAAGCAAAAGCTGTCCAGAAAGAAGAACCGACGAAAGCACCATGGTCGCAAGGAGCAGACTTCCTCCAATCAGTTCGTGCTCAATGATATCTGTGACTTGCTATCCATGCTGGCCATGAAGCTGCCACAAAGCCTACCTTTTGCTGCGTTTCTCAACAGTACTCTCGATCGCCGTCGATACTACTCTGATGGAACCAGCAATCTACCGAAGGACCTTTTCCAGAAGATTTACCGACGCTTCGAAATCCCAGATCCTGAGACGACAACAGAGACAGAAGAGTTTGTTGACTTTGCCGCCATTAAATCACCCACCAATGCCAGAATGAAACGGCGAGACTCCATGGCGTCAATTGGAAGTGCATCGTCCTCAAAAGAGAACATGAATGTTCCAGATTCCAAGCCATTGGCGACAAAAGGCAGTGGTGCATCATTGCAGCAACAACCCAGACTCAAAAAGAAAGCGGCAGCACTCAACTTAGTGGCTCCTACTAAACGACGGAATTCTCTTTTCGGGGGTCGTCGCAGCCTTCTCACTTTGTGGGTAGTCACTTCAACACTCGCTTGACTAACATAGATGCTCTGTTCCGGGAAGTCCCAGATGTCAAGAACAAGCAGAGTGTGGGCCTCTCCACCAAGCCAACCAAACGTTCGGCAATGCAACCAGCCAAAGGAAAATCTAGCTCGCTGGGAGTTGGGAGCAAGCGAAAGTCGCAGTGCTTTCAAGTCCCACATCAGGCGAGCTCCAAGAAATCAAAGGCTGGACAATCCAGCACAAGGGGAAGACGAGGAGAGGCGCCAATCCAACCTACAAAGCCTTCATTGTCGGCACGGGATCTTCATCGCCAGGTTGTCGTGGAAGCTCGAAATGCCTTGCGACGCCAAAGGTAGTTTGGAAAACACCTAGTTAGTCCACAGCAAATGAACAACAGATCTCATAATTAAACCATTGCACCACCAGCTCACACTGGCTAGCTAGAATTACTAGTACTCGGACTTTAGAAATGCAGCTAAAATTAGACTACCAGCAATCTACTAGTTGACAGTAAATGAGTAGACCAATCTATTATCACGAATCCAACTGTATTTCTCTCCCTGGCGAAGAAATCCCGATTCCAACTTTGCTATCGTCGCATGCAACGATGATTGTTTGGGTGTTCAGGTCTGCACACACAGTAGTGCTGTCGGAGAGGTCTCATATGTATGTCTTTAAGGAGTAATTCTCTTGGGATCACGAGGGAACCACGCAGCCTTACGAATGTTGGGTAGACCAAGGAACAGCATCACGACACGTTCCAGTCCAATACCGCCACCCCCATGAGGAAGGGCCCCATGACGGAATGAGTTCACGTAAGATTCGATGTCCTTCAAGTCAATGCCGTGAGCCTTTGCACGCTCCTCGATCATGTTAGGGTCGTGGACACGCTGTGCCCCAGAAAGAATCTCTTGGCCGCGGATGAAGAAATCATAGCTGTTGGAGAGTTTTGGGTTCTAAGCGGTGCAAGGGACAGGAAATTAGCAACCGTACATGCAGGCAAGAGTCGAAGCAGACCAGGAGCACAAACAGGTTGAACAATTCTCACACAACGCTACCGGTAGAAGCGCATCAACGTACCTTCGGGTCGGGCATAGTGTAGAAAGGTCTGACTTCAAGTGGATACTTGTCCATGAAGAAAAAGTCCGTTCCGTACTTCTTTTTGACAATGTCTCCAAGCTTCTTCTCGTTTTCGGTGCTTAGATCCTCATAGTCTCCTTGGTTCACACCGGCTTCACGGAGCAAAGCACAGCCTTCCGCGTAGGTCAATTTCAAGGTTGGCCTCAAGTACTGCAAGTCTTCAAAGGGGTGTTGCTCCCTGACTCGCTCGATTTCCGCTTTGCACCTTTCGTTGAGTCCATCAAAGATATGGATGAACAGGTCGCTGAACAAATCGAGCACTTCGTCGTAATGCTCATGAATCACCATTTCAAGATCAAAACCTGTGAATTCACATAAGTGCCTTCTGGTATTGCTATTCTCAGCCCGGAATACAGGCCCCGTGGTGAAAACTCGTTCAAATCCAGAACAAGCACAAGTGATTTGCTTGTGCAGTTGTGGGCTCATGGCGAGACAAGCTGGTTGTCCAAAGTAGTCGAGAGTGAAAACATCAGATCCTCCCTCCGAAGCACCACCAATCAATTTGGGCGAGTGAATCTCCACAAATCCTTTTCTAATGAGACATTCACGGAACAATAATCCCACATTACTTTCAATCCTGAAAATGGACTGGTTGGCAGGAGTCCTGAGATCCAACCAGCGATAGTCAAGACGCATTTTCTGACCCACGTGGACCAATCCATCATCGGGAACGACTTCTTCGTCCTCATTGTATGCTCCCACGTCGGTCTCTTCTCCAGTGTCAGGCCGGCATGCATCCTCCATCTGAAAGGGAAGAGCCTGTGTGGCTTTGCAAACGCAGTGGAAACTAGAGATTTGGATTTCCACTTCTTTCTGGGTGACAGAATCGACTGGTTTTTCGGGGACCGTGACCTTTCCCTTCATGTCGACCACCGACTCACTGGGCAAAGCATCAATGTATTTGATCATGACACTGGAGATGGCTCCGTCTTTGCTTTCAAAAGCCACACCCTGTACAGAGTACAAGGAGGACCGAACCACACAGAAGACACCTTTTCCCACCCCTCGTGTTGTCTGCAAATGTCCTCGAACCAGAACTTCTTGTCCGGCCATGGTTGGCTTGAGCTGTTCAACCTTGGTCCAAATCTTGTCGGTTATTTCCTGCGACTGTACAAGAGGCATGTCTCCAAAGTTATCCTGTCCGACTCCAGCGAGACGATCGGCTTTTTCTTTTTGAAGACGTTCTCTCTCGGCTCTCTTGGCATCTTTTTCTTTCTGGCGTTGTTCTTTGGCAGCCTTTTTGGCGGCGTTCTTGGCGGCATTCTTCTCAGATGGTCCCTGCTGCTCTTGGTTATCTTTATTCTTCTTTTCTTGCTTGGGAGGACCAAAATCGTTGCCTGTCACTTCCTTGTATTTGGCCTTTTGAGCCAACATATCCTTCAGGATACCCTCCCATTCTTCCTTGGGTTTTTTCTCTGCCTTGGCGGCCTTGATCGCTTCTCCGAGCTCACCAATCTTGGCGGCAATATCTTCAGCTTCACCCATCTTGTTGGTTTTCTCCTTTCTCCTTTATCTTGCTAACAACGATATGAATGACTTTTGTGTGCCACAACAGGAGTTAGTTTATGATGCGAGCTGCAACCAACACGTTTCTCCTCTTCAGATTTCCCAATCCGTCAACGAACACCAGCCTCACGTTTCGTTCTCAAAATAATGATCCGATCAACAGCAAGTTGCCAAACAGCTTTGTTGGCATTTTCAGCAAAGCTCTATCTCTAATGTATTAAGCCATATCCAATATGCTACCCCAACCAGGGTGTGAGAACCAGATAGATTTTGAACTGGTTAGGTTATAGGTTACAGCAACCGGATAGAAAATTCTATCTGGTTTGGTTATAGGTTACCAACCAGATACAGTAATTCTATCAGGTTAGGTTACAGGTTAGGTTATAGGTTACATAAATGGTTACGAAACTACCTATCTGGTTACCAAACATGACCTGCCCAAGCTGGCTGCCTAATCATCCTGGCGGGCCTCCTCCAACGCCTTCATGGCCTCCAACACTCCCAACTCCAGCATATCCTGAAAGGCTGGGGAAATCTCTTCTTCGGGTTTCTTCTTAGCAATTCTCTCCAACAGGTCTGTAGTCCGACGTTTGGCTTTTTCCAGCTGATCCTTCCGCAAGTGGAAGCGGTGTTCGTCCATGAACTTGGAATTCTTGTAGGTCAGGACCTTCATTTGGAAAGTAATGTCATGCTGGAGCTGCTTGAGAATCCCATCCAGATAGGTCGTTGCGAAGAACCAGATACGTAACCAGATATGTAACCAAAACCAGGTAGATTTGGGAACAGGTTCCCTATCAGGTTCCTCTTTGAGAATTTATGAGCGAATCAGGAAGAAAAACGGCGGCGATCAACCAGATACGTTCCGAGTAACCAGATACGTAACCAGTTAGATAACCGTTTACGTAACCGGTTACGTTCCGAATAACCAGGTAGGTAACCTATAACCTAACCACATCCGGAACCAATTACAGATCGTAAAAGGTTAGGTTATAGGTTACCAACCAGATAGCGAAAATCTATCTGGTTACAGGTTATAGGTTACGTAAATGGTTAAAAGACTCAACCAGATAGCCGTAACCGTAGGTTGACCACTGATGGTTCGCACACCCTGACCCCAACGGCTCCTCGATCCATGCCGCTTGCCTCCTGCATGTGATAGAACACAAGCTCGACTGGGTTAGACTAGTAGTAGTCTAGTTCTGGACTATTTTAATAAACCATCCCATCTCTTGTGAAGCACAACTTATCCAAACAAGCACGTTGCATTGGCATCTGAATCTCAATCATTTGCAATCATGGCGGACGGCAGCATTGAAATGGATCATGGCCATGGAAGCTCCAGCAGCGTTCGTGATGGCGAAATCATGACCTTCTCGCAGGTGCCCGGCAGCCCGTCCTTTCGTAGTTCGGCCACAAACGCCGTGGCAGTGATTCCACTATTAAGCAGCAACAAAGATGGAAATATTGCGACGACGCATTCCGCAAAGTCGTTCCGAGATTTATTCAAGGCTTTTGATCGCTACTGTCAAAATGTCAATAGGACCACACGAAGCAATCTGGACGAAAAGGAACTCATGTTGATTGTTCCCAACGCTAGTCTTACCCGCCCGGGTGATTGGCGATACGACAATACTCCTTTCAAATTCTTTCATTGGGGTCATGGCTGCCAGAGACTTCTCGTGTTCGACGGACGACCCGAGTTCTCGCGGATGGCTCATGATCGAGTCATCAACCATGCTCTCACACGAGATTGGATCGATTTCTTCCCTTCCAGAAGGACTGCCGCTGTGATTGGAGTTTTGAACATGCGCGATTGCGTCGATCAATCGACTTTGCACAGAGCCGAAGAAGAACTACAGAATTGGTCCCAGCGATACTCTACTCCATCCTACGAAGTACACGCACATGCACGAGGCAATGAAAGGGACAAAGTAGTCGAACGGCTTTTCGTATTTGATAGCTTTGACGAGGATTGTCAAGATGTGGACTTGACCAAAACTAAATTTGGAACAAACATTTTGGCATTCCCACCATCGGATGAAGCGCATTCGCAAATGATGGACTTGCATCTTAATGTCGTTGTCAATGACTTGGCGGTGGCCATCTTCCAACAGATTGAAAATCGAATTCGAGAGTCGGATGAATTAAAGGGAACTGGAGACTCCAATGCAAACCAAAGAAAAAACAAGACATTCTCGCGATTCCTCGGCACTGATACCAAAGGCAGTGAAGAACCCATGAGCTCTTCCACAAGCTTGAGTTTGAGCAACATCACCAGTGTCTTGAACCCGGATAGTAACGCTTCGTCAAGTTCTGCCGCCAAAGGAGTCTTTTCTCAACTGGCAGAGTCTGCCACAAAGGCAACTTCCTCTTCCACCAGGGATCTAAAGAAACCTGTACAACAGCTGCTTACCCCTGTCGATGAAGTATGGGATTTCAACAACTTGTCCACTAAAGAGGCGGAAACCATGAAAAAGAGGGAAGTGGGCAGGCGTGAAAAGTTTGCAGCAGATTTGTGCCTCTTGGCTGGGTCCCCCATGGATGCCTATGAGAGGTACTTGAAAGCGGCAGAAATGTGCAAATCCAAAAACCCTGATCCTTTGTGGTATGCAGGGGCCATGGAAGGATGCGCAGCTGCTCATATTGCCATGGCTGAAGCTGGCGGGTATAATGTGGACGAGTATCTAGAAAACAACTTCCAGCTCCCAGACGAAATTATGGGAGTGGTTGTTGCCAATGCCATGATACAGGATGGCAGAAAAGCCAATGCAAGCAAACAGACACTCCCAAAGATTGTTTTCACTCTTTGCGAAGAAGCGCTCAACGTGTTGGCACGGCATCCGACAGTTGCTTGTTTCCATGCTGAGTTGTTGCTGAAGATGGTATGGTATTGCTCGGAAGGCGAAGAACGGCACATGATGTGTAGATGGGGCGAAGGTGATGGTTGCTACGTTGGAGACCAGTCCGGTCCTCGTCGCTGGGAAAAGCATTCGGTTCACAAGATGACCTTCGGAAGTATGAAGACAAAAGACGGAGAAGACATCATTGTCAGCAATACCCAGCAAAGGTTACGCAAATGGTGCGAGTTAATGCATCGAGCAGCTGCTACTGGGGCCCTGGATTCATCGTCGAGGGTTGATGTAGGCTCCCGCTGCGCTCGACTTTGTATTCGGGGTATGCAGGTGAGTTAATCGGCAACAAAGTTTCAGACTAAAGCGTTTTCGCCAAGCTATTTGTTCTGTGTCCGAAACTAAAGGTTGTTTCCTCTGCGTTGTTTCCGTAGCCAACGTCGTGGAAAGGATCAACATCCACCAAAATTGCTTTGCCTCGAAAGGCCGCGTTCTTTAGCGCTGTCGCCGCCGAATCGATTTCCTCTGGGAGCGGCAGGTTTGACCAACGAGCACGGGAGTTATGGCTCCTTGCGTCCAACCTGTATTCAAGCAGGCCAAACACAAGCACCCAAGGCGGTTGCTACGGGTGGGCAACACTCAGGGCGTCGATCTTGCATGGGCTGTCTCTGCATGGAAGGAATCTCTTGTCATCTGAAGCAACAGAACAGCTCTTGAAGCTACTAAGTGAGATTTCCCCTGACACAATTGAAGACATGGATGATATTCCTGTCGCTAGTGATAGGATGAACAATGATGACCTTGCCGGGATGCTCGACGCAAGCCAGAGATCAGAAAGTGCCCTGGGAGACAATATTAGCCGCTTTTCCCGAATGAAGAAGGAAGGATTCTTCTCGCAGATGACGAGCAATTCAACGTTGTTAAATGGACAATCGAAATGGTTGGGTGACGATGTGATTCGCCCAATTCAAGTGCCCCTCGTCGAGGCGTCAGAAATTTCGCAGCTGGTGCTTTCCTTGAGCTGTGTTTGGCCAAATGTGAAGTTCGAGAAGTGCTCCTTGGCGCAAAAGTTGGTCATTGGCCACATCTTCTCCTTGCGGAAAGCGCTTCCAGCTCTGTCATTCGAGGAAAGCACCTTCTTTAATGTGGGCGCGGTCGGCAAAGATCATGTGCCCCCTCCTCTTTTCGTTTCTTCTGCTACAGTGGAAGAATCCGAGGCGTCGAAATCTCTGGAAAGAATTGGCGGCCAAAAGAAAGATGGTGCCATGGCAACATTTTTCAACCCCTACGCAAAGAAGGGCGGCGGCGGTGGTAAAGCCATGCTTGTAGCAGAGGGAGAAGAGAGATTCATGTCAATTTCCTTCGGCAACCTGCTTGCGGTGGCCCTTGAGGTGCCTTCGTGCCAAATGGAGTTTGAACACGACTCACAATGGCGCATCTTGGCAACCTCGATGTCGTTCGTTGTTCCTGCCAAGGCAAAAGACTTTGCCGTCAAATTCCCGTTCACCGCGATCTCGAGGGAACGGGCCATGGAGCACGAAGGTGAAATGAAGGTAGATGCTGAAGGCTCAGATGTATTTGAAAAGAAGGAAGAGAATACGTTTGTGATGAAAGGTTTGAATATGACCTGCTTGGGCCGTTCATCCTTTGTTCCAATCTATGAGAAAATCGACATTTCTCAATCATTGTGCAAAACAAAAAGTTTGCCTGAGGCTGCTTCTGAGTATCCCCGGCTGCCCAAGAAGAAAGTGAAGCCAGAGGATGAGCAAGTCAAGCTTCAATTTGAGATTGTCCCGTCGCAGCCAAGGCTTGTCATTTCTTGTGCTTCCACCGGAGCCCTTGTTGAAGACGAGAATACTATATCTGTTTATCTCTCTGACGGTGAAATCTTTATGACTGAGCCTTTCTTCCTTGAGAATCATGTCAGCACGAACGGGAATAAGTACGGCATGATGGAACAGCTGCAGATTATGGCTGTTGGCTTGACTGGTCATCGCGAGGAAATGCTGTTTGACACGAAACCGGCTGCACCCAAAAAGGAAGAGAAAAACAGAGTAAAGAAACCGGCTGAACCAGAGCTCAAGATGAAGGCGCTGTGTGATGATCTGTCCCTCGATGCAGTGAACGATGCCAGCCAAAGGCGCGAAAAGAGCAACAAGGTGACATTCCAAATCGTCGCAGCGCATGAATTTGCTAGTCAGTTGGCGGGGGGTCGCAATGTGAGGATTCGCTTCCGCTACCGCGGCAAGTCTCCTAGCGAAGGAACTGAAATCTGGAGGAAGCGCGAGATCTTGCTGAAAATCGGTAAGTTGGTTTCGCGGATTGCTTGCATGTTGTAACGCACGGGCGTGTCGATGTCTGTTCACTCCTCACACCACCGGTACTGTGTCTTTCGATCCGACAGTTCGTGTCAAGGGACCCAGAATCTCGTCGTTGACGTTTCGCCCCGATCTTAGTTGGGGTTGCGCTTACTCGGAACTTTGTGTTGACCTTTCACAACAAAACCGGGGCGAAGCAATTACTCCATATGCACGCACCGAAGCCAAGGAAGATTTTGACGAAGCAGCTTATGTATTAGACAGAGTGGGCATGGACCCGGGCGTGCATGTATGCAGTCGTGACGTTGTGGTCCTGATTTCTGTGGCGAACGAGACCAATTCGACGATCGTGTTGTCCAATCAAAATGGTTTGGTTGGTGGCTTTGAGGGAAGCCCAATGGAGACAATCACAGTTTCATCGGGTGTTAGCGTGAGGATTCCAGTCGTTCTTCCTCGGATCCCAAGGATGGAGGAAGACGGCGAACCAGCCGATGTTGTTGCCCAGCTTGTCGCCAAGACTGAATTGCAATGGAAGGAAGTTTCAAGTGAGTTTCACGAAGATGCGAGTGGCATCAGTTCCATGGAAAGTGCCGGCAAGAAGAGAGTTCGTGAGGGACGGATGCGCATTCCACCAAACTGCTTGAAAGAAATCGTCGCCGAGCATCCCTCCTTCGCCTCCCGAATCTGCGAGCCACCCTGTGAAATCATCCTTAGTTTGGGCGAGGGGCAGCACGAACCGGAGAATCCTCTGTGCGTCCAACAAGGCAATCCAATTGATGTGTTTGTGGAAGTTCTGATGTCGCCCTGGGTCCCAGAAGATGTGGTCGAGGAGTGCAGCTTGACTTTAGAGTTTTGCTGTGCACGCAAGGAAGATGGGAACGCCAACTCGATCGCTGTGTCGATGCAGCGAGACTACGTTTGGTGCGGACAGATCAGAAAGATGATGCGTGCATGCGACGAAGAAAAGACTCATAGAGCCAGAATCTTGATCCTGGAACCAGGACACTTCGTGCTCTCGGCCTGTGCTAAGATTGCCAATGACGCAGAAAATGGTGCAGAAGAGGTCTGGTGGGCTCCGGTCGCAGAAAATGTCATTGTGCAGCCTGCTTCGCCCAACTAGCTGCACGTAAATGCCTTAATCTTACGAAGCTTGCTGCTGTGCCTCGCTGCATGTATTCATCCCTCCGGGGAAAGTGTACCAATTCCTAAGTTAACATACCTTTTGCGTCGAAACCGTTCCCTCCTAAAGCTAGCCCTGTTTTTAAGACTTATTCTCCTCCAGAGACCTCTTGCAACTGGCGGTAGACCGAACTAGCTAGAAACTCAGATTCAAGTTGGTTAGCTCCAACCGAACACTTTGTTGTGCCATCGAATTCTTTCTCTGATAGCTGCCTCGTGGCTATGGAAAAGTTGTACCTGTACGGTACCAGTTCCTGCACTCGGACGAGCTAAAGCTTGGGTGCCGAATGAATGCTTTCATTGCATGAATGAAAGCATGGTTCGCCCCTTGTGGAGTCGAACGATGGTAACATGATATAATCCTGATTTTGACATCCATTATAAGTTTTTGTGTTTAGTTTTAACATGCTCTACATACCACAAGTCTGTTCACAAGCAAGGCGCAAATGATACAAGCAAAGCCACCCAAGTTCCAAACAACTCGGACACCAGCCAGCATCAAACCACCTTAGGCAAGAGCACCATCGGCGCTCGACAGGTCAACTCGGTTGCGGTCAAGTTTTCTGTAGAGGAAGAACGCGTAGGAAGCAAAGATGATGGTGGAGATGGCAAAAACCCATGCAAAACCAACAGCAGCACCGCCGCTTGAAGCTGAACTGCTTGAGCGTGAGCTGGCTCCACGAGTGGCCTTCTCGAGACGGGGCAGGATGTTTTGGATGTACTCGCATCCTGCGGTGTCGGGCCAGGTGACATCCAAGTTGGACTCGCACTTGGCAGCTGGCTCGTAGACAGCTTCGCACAACTCGTTCACTTCGAGGTCTTGGTAGTAATAGTAGTTGTTTCCATTCTGGTTGTTGTTATTGTTGTTGTTATTATTGTTGTTGTCTGCAATGTTGAGATAAAAGGGCAAGGTGTGAGGGACGGGCTGTTCAAGGCGAGTCTGAAACCGTGAATCGAAATGTTACTTACCGTCTTCATCGACTTGCATACAAGAGATGCATTCATCCTTGACAATGGCTTCTTCAGAGAATGGCAAAGCGACTCCGTAGTGTTGGTCAGCATAAGTGCTTGCGTCGGCGCGAGCGGAGCAACCTTCATCGTAGAAGAGACCAAGGTGGATAGAGTATCCGTCCTTCTCGGAGCAGTAGGGTCCGATGTAGTATTGTCCATACCTATAGTGCAAGGGAAAGAAAGAGAAATATGGTTAAAAGACCACGCCCCAAAGAGCCCCGTCAACTAACACGAAGTAGACGCACCATCCATTGCCGTTTCCTCCATTGTTGTTGTTGTTGTTGTTATTGTTGTTGCCGTCTTCCATCTCTGAAAGGGTCAAAGGAGAAATTGGGTCAGAACAGAACATGATTTTTCCCAAAACAGCTCCCTCCACCTTAGTTAAACTTACCAGCACATTCCAGGTATCGTTGCACTTCGAATTCTTCGTCTCCTTCATACTGGATACATTCAGTCATCTCGGCTTCATTGAAGCATTGGTTCTCGCAAGCCTCATCGTCGTTGTAATTGTTGTTACAGTAGCAGTTTTCTCGAATGTTTTCACAAGTCCTCTCGAGGGCGTTCATCTGCCACTCAGTCCAGGCGTCAAGGAACTCCATCATGCTGACAACATAGTCCGAACCTCCCTTGCAGGTATCGCAGGTGGCGTCAGCAGGACATAGCGAGAACTTGACCAAGTTCTGGGTGTAGAGGGGACTTCCCTCGCCACCGCCGTTTTCCTCATTGGCCAAACTCACAATGCTAGCGCATCCACGGTACTTGATGGAATAGTTGGCAACCCAAGTCCAGTCTCGTTCTTCGTTCAAAGCACGAGCCTTGGAGAGCAATTTCTTGCCAAGCTTGGAATCGGCCTTGACATCAAAATCAGGGACAATAGTCTTGGCGCCAGCAGCGGCGATAAAGGCAAGAAGCAAACTAATAGAGCGGAGCATTTTCAAGATCTTAAGGGAACTGATGAAGGATGAAGTGCAATCTAAAGCTCAATACTTCTCTGGTTGTGGGCAAGCGCACGAAAACAGTTGATTTGTGTGCCTTCTATTTTTCTGATCCTCAGATTTGTCCCTCCAATCCAACCGCCCACTCATTTTCGCCGATTAGTATAAGTATCCTCGCTTCTTGCGCATGCCCGGCAATTTCTTAGGTTTCTGTCCGATGTATTTAAAGCGTTTGGCGTTATGAAGTTACCGTTGCGAAAATGGAGTGTTAGAGTTAGAGATGAATTAGCGCAACCTCCAAGCTATCAAAACACTCGCGAGCGTTGGAGCACGCAGCCAGTTTTGCGAGGGCAAAGCTCCTACTACTAGCTAGAGTAGATGGTACAGTGTGTTCGCGATTATATTTATAAACGTATATTTATATTCTCCAGTATATTTATGGAATTTCGATGTTCCCCCCTGAGTCACGAGTGACCGTGACTGACGTCAGTGCATGTGTACGTACCCTTCGCAAATCTCGTAGCAGCAAAACAATGGCTCGCAATCCATTCCAAACACTCCAAATCGATCGACGTACGTGTAAATGCCAATGCATGTCGATAGAGGTGCTGATGGAGGACTGATAGAGTGCCGCACCTCCGCTTGCCTGTCGATTCTCTGCCAATCTGCGCAAATCTTCGTACCAGTGGTTTTTCATGGTGTTTTCGCGAGATTTGCGCAGAATGGCACAGAGGAGACAAGGCCATGGTCGCCGGTTGCCAGCTAAAATAAAAAAGAATTCCAAAAGAAAGATTCCATCTCGGTAAAGTCGCTGCAAACGTCAGAGGCTGTCTAGGTGTGGATTGACCATGGTTCAACATGGATTTCTATTTTAGCTATCGACTGTGGACTGGCCAAAACAAACTCGGAGTAAAAGCGGGTGGTACCTCCTTAAAACAATTCTAACTTTAGAGATGACTATTGCTTTCGATTTCATCCAGAACGGATTGAGTGCTCGAGAATTGATGGCTTTGTGAAAACCTGGATCTGGCTTGGAGGCAGGTTTGGCTGTGGTACGACTGTACAGTATTCTATTCTTGACTGGCGGAGGTGCCTACCGGTACGGTGTACGGTGTACCGTTACTACCGGTATGCATATATGGTCATAACGGTACCGTACAGTTGTACCGGTATGTTATAGGCACCATGATCTCCCAGTTCTCAAAGTACAGATAAGATCCGCCCTGTTTTGCATGCTCCTCCTCATCATCCAACCACGCTTTTAATTAAAGCTACATAGTGATGTTTCGCACCAATTCTTCACTCCCACTCAAACAGTTGCAGTTGCGCTACATGTACGGTAGCTACAGGTACTAGTAGTTACTGAAGCTAATGTAGCTAGAAGTACCGGTAGTACACGTCCGTCTTCTGCGAGAGGTTCGTGAGAGTGGTGCGTGCTACAGTCAGTTCTTGACTATATTTATATGGGGGTAATACGGATTCTATAAATATACTAGAGAATATAAATATAGGCTCTATTTACTAGTAAAGTACGCGTGGAGAGTGCCGTCACGTTTTTGTTTGGAGCTCTTTGCCCCTAGCCATATTTCTTTTTGCTGGTTCGTCTTTGAACCTGCTTTCGGTCCTCTCTTCGCTCCTTTCTTCGTTGCGGTTGAATCGGCACCGTTCATGTTGGTCTAGGTCGGATTGGAGGGATTGGTATGGTTTGCTTGAAATTGTTTTGTTGCTCAGAGAATTGTTT